AAAACCGCTCTCTTGTCGAACTCCAGGAGCGCCTTCCGCAGGGACGCCGGCGGCCCGCACTCCAGGAACTCTCGCGGCGGCGGCCGCAGGATCAGCATGTTCCGCATGCACGTGGCGCGGGAGAACATGACGTAGAGGTGCAGCCACCACTGCTCGTCCGACATGCCCGTGCGGCCAGCGTCCTCGTCTCTCGCGCAGTCGATGGTGACGCCCTTGCGCAGCGTCTGGCCCTGCGACAGCGTGGAGGTCAGGTAGGACGCGTGCGTCAGGGTGAACCCCGAGCGGCGCACGCTGTGCGCCCCCGAGCTCTGCCATGTGAACTCCCTTTCGCTGGGCCTGAACATCAGCAAGCTCCGCGCCCGCGCCTCGGCCTGGCCGTCGTCGTCGGCGCCTTCGGCGCCCTGTCGCAGCACCTCGGCGACCTGAGGAGCCCAAAAACTTCCTTGTTGCGTCCAAAATGTGGCCTGGGAGCTGCGTTCTGGCAGCGCGAGAACCCAAAATTGACGACAGTTACAGGTTTTGGATGACCCGCTCGGATTACCAACATGATCTGCGGGCCCCATAGGGAGGGTGCTCCCGCCTGAGACTTCCTCGCAGTTCACTCACAGACGAGCTCCCGCCTGAGACTTCCTCCATATTCAGGCTTGAGGAGCCCAAAATTGACGACAGTTACAGGATTCCGATGACCCGCTCGGATTACCAACATGATCTGCGGGCCCCATAGGGAGGGGGCTCCCGCCTGAGACTTCCTCACAATTCACTCAGAGACGAGGCTCCCGCCTGAGACTTCCTCCAAATTCAGGCTTGAGAGCCCAAAAGTGACGACAGTTACAAATGTTACAGGTTCCGATGACCCGCTCGGATTACCAACATGATCTGCGGGCCCCATAGGGAGGGAGCTCCCGCCTGAGACTTCCTCCCAATTCACTCACAGACGAGGCTCCCGCCTGAGACTTCCTCCATTTTCAGGCTTGACGAGCCCAAAAGTGACGACAGTTACAGGTTCCGATGACCCGCTCGGATTACCAACATGATCTGCGGGCCCCATAGGGAGGGGGCTCCCGCCTGAGACTTCCTCACAATTTACTCAACGATGATGAGGATGAGGATGATGAGTGGTGGTGAAGATGAGTGGTGAAGAGGATGATGATTGATTGCGAGTGGTGGTGGCGATGATGATGTTTGAATGAGGATGATGCCGATGCCGATGATGATGATGATGTTCGTGAGCGTGTGAGAGAGTGCGAGTGATGATGATGATGAGTACGTGAGTGACTAAGCATGTGAGAGAGCATCATCGATGATGCTGATGAGGTTGATGATGAGAAAGTGTGAGTGAGTGTGAGTGTGTGTGTGTGTTCCTGTTCCTGCGCGGGGTGTCCAGAGAAAACAAGAACCCCACTTTGGATGTGGGGAATAATAATAATAATAATATACATGTATTTATGTGTGTATATATATATATGCATTCGGGGGCCTCTGAGAAATAGTTTTGAAGCCTTTTGGGTGCCGTCTTGGGGCCTCTTGGAGGCTCTTTTGGGCTTCTTGAGGGCCTCTTGGGGCCTCTTGGGGGCCTCTTGGGGCCTCTTGGGGGCTTCCTGGGGGCCTCTTGGGGCCTCTTGGGGGCATCTTGGGGCGGAGAGTTTGATTTTTCAGTTCGCTTTCCCTCTCTTGGGCCCCTCTTGGGGCCTTCTTGGGACCCTCTTGCGCCGTCTTGGTCGGCTCTGGGGCCGTCTCGGAGCCCTCTTGGGCCGTCTTGAGGCCCTCTTGAGGGCCTCTTGAGCCGTCTTGGACCAGATTGGGGCGCCTCTTGGGCGGTGCTTAGCGCCGGAAACACGAAACAGCGAGAATACAAACAAACACTTTAAAAAAACAATGAAAATCAACGAGTTTGCCCTCTCGGGGGGGCTCTTTGGCGGCATCTTAAAAGCCTCTTGGGGCGTCTTGGGGGCCTCCGGGGCAGTTTAAAACACATCTTGCGTCGCCCGAGACCCCCGGACGGTGTCTCGAGACCGTCTGGGGCCGCCAGGATTGCTGTCTGAGGGCTCCCCGGGGCGATTTTAGGCCTCCCAGAGGCGGGCCCGGGCCCCGGGGCCCACATTTGCGGTCGAGGTTCTGGCCCTCGGCCCCCGAGCCCAGTGCACCATTATATGTACATACAAGCATACATTCACATGCACAAGCATACAAGCATACATATATGCATGTATACAAGCATACATGCGTGCGTACATACACATGTATATATATACATACATACATACATACATACATACATACATACATACATACATTACATGACATGGCATGGCATGGCATGGCATGGCATGGCATGACATGACATGACATGACATGACATGACATGACATGACATGTGACATTACATTACATTACATTACATTACATTACATGCATTACATACATACATACATACATACATACATACATACATACATACATACATACATACATACATACATACATACACACATACATACAAGCATGCAAACATGCAAACATACATACAAACAAACAAACAAACATACAAAACATACAAGCATACAAACATACATACATGTATACAAATAGACAAACATACATGCATATACACTACCGACACACTACACATATATATATACAGGTTTACACACGTATGTACATTAATGCATGCATGCATGCATCCATGCATGCATGCATGCATACATGCACTCATACACACATACATTCATGCATACGTACAGACAAACATTCATACACCTAAACATACATGTATATACACATATATACATACATATATACATGCATACATACATACATACATTACATACATTACATACATTACATACATTACATACATTACATACACATGCATATACACATACCCATACACATACACATACACATACACATACACATACACATACACAGTCACAGTCACATACACATACACATACACATACACATACACATACATACATACATACAAGCATACATACATACATACAAGCATACAGACATACATACATACGTACATACGTGCATACGTACATACATATATACATACATACACATACATACCTACATGCATACCTACATAGATACATACCTACATACCTACATAAATGCATACGCACGTACGTATATACATACAGACATACGTTCATACGTACATACGTACGTATATACCTACACACAGGCGTTCACACATACATACATGCATGCATGCATACAAACATACATATATACGTACAGCCACATGTACGTAAATATATAAACCCGTACACGTATATACATACATACATATACGTACATACATACGTACATGCACACTAACATACACACACTACATACACATACTGGTATACAGACATACACACATCAATAAATAGAGACAGGCATACCTTTATATATATATACAAGTACGTGAACTAGAACCACGCGGGCGCTTCGCGCGGGCATATGTTCTAGCCGCGCCCACAGAACTCACATCATAAATTGCGACTGCCCAAGTGTGAAATGCAAAGGCCAATGTTGCCAGAAGTTGTTGCCTGATGCTCACCCCATATCTACAATCAATCAATCTTGCGACCCCCGCAGAAAGTACACATGCAGATATATAGATGTTTATACATCTACATGTATAGGTATACTCTATGTGTATATATATATATGTGTGTGTCCACTGGCATTTGGCCTAACCCGCCACTGCGCTTGGTCGTAGACTGAAGGCCTCTTTGAGAGGTTGTGTGGTGTCTCGTGGAAGGTCTTTCGGAAGTCTTTTGCCGAGTTTGCAGCCTGCATGGGAGCCTCCAGATGCCTCTGGGTGGTGTTTGGGGGGGCCCTCGGGTGCTCATGGGGGGCATATTGGAAATCTCTCGGGGCCCTGCTGGCGGTTAGGGGGGCCGTCTTCGGGGGGCAGGGTCGATGTGCGAGTTCGGGTTCCCGCTCTTGGGCCCTTCTTGGGGCTCTCCTGGCACGCTGCTGTATTGCGCCCCAGGGGGCCGTTTTGAGAAGCCTCGTGGAAATGTATCTGAAGCCCGAGAGGGCTGGATGGCAAGCGCACCCGTGGGCCCTTCTCGTGGCCGTCTTCAGGCACTCTTGGGCTGTTTTGGGCGCCTCTTGGGCCGTCCTGGGACTCTCCTGGGCCGTATTGGGGCCCTCTTGGGGGCCTCTTGGGCTATCTTGGAGCAATCTTGGGGGCTTCTTGGGCCGTCTTCAACGCCGCGCGGGCCGAAAAACAGTGCATGCAAAAAACGCACGTTTCTCAAAGGGAATGAAACGATGTTGGCCTCTTGGGGCTCTTTTAGGGGTGCTCTTGGAGGCCTCTTCGGCCGTCTTGGGCGGCCTCTGTTGCCATCTTGGGGCAATCTTGGGCCCCTCTTGGCCCGTCTTGGAACGATTATGGCGCTCCAAGAATCGCCTCGGCGCTCAATCCCCCACATTTGTGGTCGGGGGGCCGGCCTGGGGCCCCCTGGTCCTAGTGCCCCGTTATGTATATATATATATATCTATAGATACATAAATATATACACAGACGTACATACACACAGATACATGCATACATATATACAGAGATATACGTGCATCCAGACAGACATACACGAACATGCATACATGCAGGCGTACGTGCATGCATGCATGCAGACATACATACATCTGTATCCACCATATGATAGCTGGGAACCAGCGACTGATCGAACGAACAATCTCAAACGACGACGGCACGCGCCATCAAAGGAACATGAGACCAGCGTGCCGTGAGACCAAGAGGTCACGACCGTGGTGGCGGTGATTCGCAATGACATCACAGTATCGGAGACACGAAGAAAGGGATCCGACGCGCAACACTCTGCAACTGGAGAACAACCCGCTGGCGACGAAGACAACGACGCCAACGCCGACTTGCGACGACGAAGACGACGACGACGACGACGACAACTTGCGACGACGACGACGACGACGACGACGACGCAAGACGGCGGACGCCAGCGCCCGAGGGCCTCCTCGGACTCTGGCGAGCCGTCGACGAGAACGACGCGCTGGTCGCCCCGGAGCCGCAGCCGGGGCAGCGCGCCGCCGTCGGGGGCCGCCGCCACGTCGCCAGGCTCGGACGCGGGCGTGGAGGACGACTCGCCATTCGCTGGGGGGCGGCGCGCAGAAGGGGGTGCGGTGTGCGCGTCTGCTGCCACCAGCTACTACGCCTCGCCGAGAGCTTTCCAGGGAGGGGGCCTGGATCATCTCGGACGGCCGCTGGGGGCCCGAGATGCGACGCGAAATCACAAGGCCCCGAGGGGGGAGGATCAGTCAGCATCGAATCGCGGATCGGGATGTGCGTCGGATCGGGCCGCATCGGCACGGGGTCTGGGTCGACTCGGGTCGGCCGCGCCAGGATGAATACCAGCACCGTGCTAACGTCGGGCCACATCGCATCGTCGGAATATCGGAAAGACCGCGCCCTGTGGGCGCTTGGAGAGGGGGGGGTTCGAACCCCCCCCCCCCCCTCCCCCCTCTCCCGTGACGGAGGGGGGGAGGGGGGTTCGAACTCCTCCCACCCCTCCCCCCCTCTCCTCCCTCCTCCCCTACTGCTTCTAAGTCTTCGTGACCTGCTCGAGGTGTTTGGGTGCAGGCCACAGTGGCCTGCGACACCTCCACGGTCGCGCGACCACGGGCGCCGCCACGCCGCGCGGCCCCGATCGGGATCCGGCCTGGCACCGCCGCCGCCGCAAGGAGCGTGCCAACGCACGCGTGCTCCTGCGGCTTGGCGCGGCGGCAGGCCTACTGGACAGGCACCACAGCAGCGGCAGGATGGCGCTAGGGGATCGTGCATTGTCACGTTCGACAGGCCATACGTCAACCTGGCGCTGCTCGTTCGTGAAGTGCAGCCAGGACAACTTTGCGTCGAGAACGACATGCAGAGGCTGCGGAGCGCCCAAGGGGGAGGAGGTGGAGGCCAGAAGGACAAGGCCAAGCCCCCCTGGAGGAAGCGCTCTGCCTCGGCAGATAGAGGAGGTCACAGGCGAGGAGCTGCGGCAGGAGACCACGGAGATGCAGGTGCTGGAGTGCCAGCGGCCTCGGGCAACATCGGCATCTTGCCCATGCTGCCGAAGCAGGCGCAGCATCACCCCAGCTGGCTGACCGCCCCGCCGATCGCCGCAGGACTCAAGCGCCACAGGGAGTCCTTGCGCAAGGCGATGGTGGCGGCGGCAGAGGCGGTGAGGGCGATCCGCAGCATGCCGCCGGAGCAGGTCTCCCCGCAGCGCCTCAAGCAGGCGGAGAACGAGTACGCTGCGCTCCACTGCCAGGTCATCCTAGCTAAGGACCCGACCACGCGCATGGAGAAGCAGGAGCAGTTCGTCAACAAGGCCAAGAAAGCGCTGACGGCTGCCAAGGACGCCCAGTTCGCCGCGGAGCTGGCGGCGGAGGCGTGCAAGTCGGAGACGGCCAAGGCCCAGAAGGAGTACCAGCACGCGCAGGAGTTCATGGCGCAGATGGCTCAGCTTGAACACTGGTGCGCCTACCCGCCAGAGGGCGGAGCCCCCGCCGCTGCGGAGCCAGCCGCGCACAAGTTCGCCAGGGACGCGGCGGTGCCGGACGACAGCGACGAGGAGATCGAGGACGCGGACGACGACGTCTACGGAGGAGGCTCGTCAGGGCAGCAGCAGATGCCAGTGAGACCAGCATGGTCACACACGGGCACGGCCCACGATCAGAACCGCGTGGCGAAGCTGGAGACACAGATGGGGTCCATGCAGGACACGCTGGGGCAGATCCTTGCGGCGCTCAATGGGCAGCCCCTCCAAGGCCAGCCACCGCAGGCCGCAGGAGCGGAGGACATCCCCGTTCCAGGTGGAGGGAGGCTGCCCACCAGCCAGAAGAGCGCGAGCGCAGGCAAGGCCGCCAAGTCTCCAGCCAAGGCGTTTGCGGAGCCGCCGCCGCCAGGCCAGAGGAGGCTGGCCCTGTCGTCTGGAGGTGCAGCCACGGACAGCTCAGAGGGAGCCGTCAAGGTCATGAAGGACGAGAACGGCGACCCAGTCGTGGTCGAGGTGGCGGCAGCCCGCTCCCCACTGAAGGAGCTGCAGCAGTGCCAGACGCCGCCTGCCGCCGACGAGAACGCCATGAGGGACGTCAGAGTGGGGCAGCGGCTGGACGCCAACGGGCGGCCGTTGGGCTAGTTTACCCGGGCCAGCCCCCGCTACCGTCTTCAGCGGCGACGGAAGCGACAGGGGGGTGTGGCCCGGTAGCTTCACCTTCAGAGGCGCTGCCAAGGAGTGGTGTCGACACGCCAATTCCAGACACAGCAGCCGACATGGCCGTGCTGAGGGCAGCATGGCCAATCACCATCGACAAGGGTTTCGTCGAATACGGAGAGCAATACATTCACAGCTCCACCAAGGGAGTACTTTCCAAGTGCTCGCGTCTTCAGGGCGATTTTGATCCAAGCCTGTTCGAGACGCTACTCATCTACACGGATGGCTCAGGCGGCAGCACGCATGGTCATCTTCATGGGCCGCCGGCCTGGGCCTTCGTCGTGCTGGGCTACACGCACGACGACGAGTTCGTGCTCATCGGCACGATGGGGGATGCGATGCCGACGCTGGGGGAACAGTTCAGCCAGCCGTCTGGAGCCGCAGAGATTTGTGCGATGATTGCCGCGATCCTCTGGCTCTTGCAGCTCCAGGTGGCTGTGGACGAGACGGGCAAGCATGCGCAGCTGCCAGTGATCAGCTTCTACACCGACAACAACTACGTGGTCGACATCGGGAGAGGAGGTGCCGCGCTGGAGCACTACGCGCCGTACGCCAGCTTCCTGGACAGCATCGCCAAGGTGCTGAGACACAGCGCGGAGGACATCCTCTGGTCGCACGTCAGCGGCCACATGGCGGACCCGTGGAACGAGCTCGCCGACACCGTCGCCACGCTGGCCAGAGGCGGCCTCATCGCGTGGCCCAACGACTTCGACCTCTGGGAGCGCATGGAGCAGGTGCTGCCGCAGGCGCCCTGGCTGTGGCTCAGTGTTGCCCCTCAGGCCGAGAGACTCCAATACCCGCTCCCAGGCCACCCCGTCCCTGTCCTCGAGGCCCCGTCCCAAGGCCTCCAGAGCTTCCTCCTGAAGCACCTGTCCCAGGGAGACAATGGCTCGCAGGGGGAGGGCCGAGGCAAAAGGAGGGGGGAGGGGCAACCCAGCAAGCCACGGAAGCTACGGCTAGCAGTGGCCAATGTCCTGACGCTCGACCCCAGGAAGTCCAGGGTGAGCAGGGGGAAAGCCTTCACAGGTGTCCCCATCCCAGGAAGGATGCGGTCCCTAGCGCAGCAGTTCGGGGACGCGGGCTACCACCTGGTCGGCACGCTCGAGACCAAGGTCCCCGCCGAGTCCGTCGTGAGAGTGGGCCACTACCTGAGGAGGAGGAGAAGGAGGAGGAGGAGGAGGTTGAGCGGGAGGAGGAGGAGGAGGAGAAGGAGGAGGAGGAGGAGGAGGAGGAGGACGCTCTGGGGCCTCGCTGTGGGTCAACACGGTGGGCCAGCCGGGCGAGGACGGCCCCGCCCTGCAGGAGCAGCACGTGGCGATCGCACACGAGGGGCCGACCCACATGCTGGTGTGCATCAGGGCGCCCTTCCTCCACTGCGACATCCTGGTAGGGCATGCCCCTAGAGGAAAGAGAACTATGCACATACACCGATTCTGGCCAGGCCCATCCTGAGCCCAGGATCGGTGCATACGCCCTCCTACCTTGGCCAGGAAGGCATATGCACCGATCCTGGGTCAAGGATGGGCCTTGCCAGGATCGGTGCATGTGCATAGTTCTCTTCGCCCGACTGGTAGGGCATGCCCCACACAGCCACAGGCCCCCAGGGGAGATCAGGGACTGGTGGGAGCACACCCAGAGGATCCTCGACAAGAGGCCCGACCCCAGCCCGTGGCTCTTGTCCCTGGTCGACGCCAACGCCCAGGTGGGATCGGTCCCCGCGGTCGGCATCGGAGAGTACGGCGCGCAGAAGGAGAACCTCCCAGGGCCCTGCCTCCGCAAGTACGTCAAGCGCACCGACTCCTGCCTGCCCTCCACGCTGGCTCAGTCCAGGAACAATGTCTACGCCACGTGGACTCCGTCGAGGGCCAGGACCGCTGAGGACGGCAAGCGCATAGACTACATCGCGGTACCACAGGAGCTGCTACAGCATGTGGGCGATCAAGGGGTCAACGACAACATCGAGCTTGCGGTCTCCCACAAGGACCACGCAGTGGTGGACCTGGAGGTGCAGCTCCCGCAGGGCCAAGACGGGGAAAGACCGCCCAGGTGGCAGCGCCCCAAGGTGGACACGACCAAGCTCACCACGTTCTCCTGCCAGGTGAGGTTCGACGAGCTGATGGGGCAGGTGCAGCACCCGGCAGCGAACGTCCACCCCAACGACCACGCGGACTACCTCGACAGCCAGGTCCTGAAGGCGGCGGAGGAAGCTTTTCCGCTTGAGCCCATGGCGCCGAAGCCGACATGGGAGTCGCCAGCCACACAGGACCTCTGCCATGTCAGGGCGCTGCTCCTAAGGACCACAAGGAGGGCCAGGAACCGCCTGTGTCACATCATGCTGGTGGTTACGATGGCGGCGTGGGCCAACTGCTGCGACCAGGGGCTGTGGCACAACCTGAGGACAGCACAGTGGCAAGCATCGAGAAGAGGCAGGGTCACGTGCGACAAGGTCGTGGAACCATGCCGCACGGCACTGCAGGACTACCGCCAGGTGCACGACTTCTCGGCCATGGTCATGGGCCAGCAGCACCCTGCAAAGATAAAGAAGCAAGGAAGAAGATCGACGCAGTATCCCCAGGGCCGCACCTCGAAGCACGTGACCTTCAACGAGGTGCCCGACTTCGACATCCCAGCTGAAGCAGGGGACGCCCAGGATACAACCGCATAGGCGCGATGGCCAGCGCCTACATGCAGTGCCGCCATCGACCCGCCACTCTCGTGGGCCGACTGCGCGGACAACAGCGACCTGGAGGAGCCAGACAGGGCCCACGACCCTCACGACGAGGACTACGAGGGGCACGCTGGCGGCAGATGGTGTTTGGGCCAGACTGAAGGCATGCTGCAACCCAAACACGACGAGCTCTTGTTAAGTCAAGCCGTCGGGGAAGCATCGGAC